CATCTAGATGTGTATAAGAGACAGCACACACACACTCACACGCACACACACACACCTCTCTCTCACAGACACCTCTCTCTCACCTCTCTCACCTCTCTCTCTCCCTCTCTCTCTCTCTCTCTCTCTCTCTCTCTCTCTCTCTCTCTCTCTCACACACACACACACACACATAGACACACACACACACACACACACACACACACACACACACACGAGTAGACTTACTTGAATAACGTTTCGGTGTCGAAGGCGGAGAGACATTGTGACCTCCTCCGTGAACGCTTGCTCCAGCTTATCAACCTCCTCCGGCGTCTCAGGCGTCGCGATCATTTTGATTGCCATTTCCAACTTGCAAAAGACTCCCCTGTGCATCGCCGCTTTTGGTCCGGAAGCAAACTTCTCCCCGATCACTAGTTGCTTCGGATCAATCAAGCAATGCTTCATGTTCTCCTGCTGCCATGGACTTCGCTGCAACGCCTCCGACCCACTCAGCAAACTACTTGATGAATAATTCGACCCGACCGACGGCGATCTACTGCTGGCTGCACACGGTGATCTCAAAGGACGCTCTGCGGGTCCCCCCCCGCCGCCCAATTTGTCTGGACCAGAAAACTTCTGGTGTTTGATTCTCTCTGCCTCTCTATCGCTTGCAGCACACGGCCTATCAGGACCAGAAAACCGTTCCATTTTCACTCTGTCTCTCTCCGCCGAACACCCTGAAGGACACCTCAAGCCCACGGAAAAACGTTCTGGCGGCATGAACGCCATCCGCTGGAGCTCGCCCGGAGAATATTTCTCCCGTTCCGATGCTACCGCGCATCCTCTTCCTTCTCCTCCTCCTCCTCCCCCCCTCCCTACCGGTGATTCCAAAGCCGTCGCCGTCGTCGATCCCATCGCCAACCCCGCTCCATTACCCATACTTCGACAATCTTCCTCACCCCCCCTTACCTTCATCACCCCGAATTCCAGACCGCTTTCTCTTCCTCCCTGCTGATGCTCCAGCGAAGCAGCCCGACCACCTTTCGCCCCGCACTCCTCGTCAAATTCACCTCCCTTCTCTGCGTCACAGAAGGTTTCCCTCAACGACGCTGCGGCCACCGAATGATCTTCGGCCGCCGATACTTTCCCTCGAACGGCCATCTGGCCTGAATCTACCGCCTTACCCACCATCTTTCTATCCTCCTCTCGTCTTTCCTACCCCTCACCGTCTCTCTCCCCGCCTCTCCCTCTCTCTATCCCTCCAATTCCCCCCCCCGCACTTCCCGCCTTCCACTTCCCCAACCCCACACGACTCCTCTCTCTCTCTCTCTCTCTCTCTCTCTCTCTCTCTCTCTCTCTCTCTCTCTCTCTCTCTCTTCTGCAACCACGCACAGACACACAAAAACGCGAACACTCGCGCGCGCCCAACCCCCAGCCCCTAACAACGCGGTTCGACAACAGGTCACCAGGGTTGGACAAGGGAACTGCAATCCAAGCCTATTATGGCTATACCAGGAGCGAGGTCTGATTTCCACCGTCTGCCTGCATTCAATGGACGTATGGACCCGGTACCGGCCGAACGTATCTCTCTCTCTCTCTCTCTCTCTCTCTCTCTCTCTCTCTCTCTNTCTCTCTCTCTCTCTCTCTCTCTCTCTCTCTCTCTCTCTCTCTCTCTCTCTCTCTCTCTCTCTCTCTCTCTCTCTCTCTCTGTGTTTGTTTGTGGACAGACCTGGTTCGTCAGTCACCCAATTTCAGAGTGCCACCTCTGGCCTGGCGTGACGCTGGTGAATGGGATACAATATATATATCATTTTAATTGAAAATCATTTTGAATGAAAATTCAAGCAATGCCATTCGAAAGATCAGTACTAATTACTAATAATACCAATTAATCACTGGTAGCCTCTCCTATGATTGCCAATCCGTAATGATTACGTCTCGACAAGTCCTCATCATCCCTCGTGATCTTACTCTGTTGGGATTGCCTCCTAAAGGGATAGCGACGAAAGCAAGGGACCAGCGCACCAACGAGAGGAGATCCGTCCGCCATGCAGATCGAACCTTCAGTCCAGAGAAAGAACACAGAAAGAACACAGAAAGTTCACAGAAAGTACACAAAAGAACACAGAAAGAACATAGTAGAAAGTGAACAGAGAGAACACACAACGATCACAGAAAGAGCGCCACGTGGAAGACACTGATGACGACGAGATCTTCATCGACATTGAGCCCGCCTGCGAGTCGTCGGCCGACCAGCGGCCAGGTCGAAGAAGCCTGTCGTTGCCGGCCAAAAAAAATTCCTACGCCTCTGGGAACGCCACGTGGCACAACTGGGCATCCGCATCGAAAACAAGCAGGGCATTATTTCTACCTCCATCTGTCGATCAGAGCAAGCCCGATCGCTCACGTCTTTACAGACACAATGCGTCTGCAGTACGCTGCCTTCACACACAGACAGATACACACCACCTACCTCCTCCTCCTTTCTCTGTTCCTCTCTCCCCCGCCCACCTCCGGCGAGTCCGACAGAGCCCCTCCTCCAAACACTCCCCCCTTCCTTCTCTCCCTCCTTGCAATTCCCCTCTGGGACTCATGGCTGATATCGCTAATCGCTAATAGTCTTAAACGGAAACGAAAGGACACTCAACCCGCGCTGATGACCACTATGAGCAGACAGTTCGGCTCTAACGCGCCTTCTTATTTTTTTTATTTTTTTTTAACACACACGCTACCCAAACAGCCGCTACAATACACACTCAGGCAAACACGGACATGACGCCAAAAGCCCTTCCTTCCCCTTCCTTCCCCTCACCTCTTCTCCTCCCCCTCCCTTCTCCTTCCTTCTCTTCGGCTCTCACCGGCCGAAACCACCCACAGCGGATCGCCGATTTCGATTCAACGCGCCCCAATGCATGATAGCGCACTGCCAATGACGAAACTTCGCTCCCGCTTCCGCTCCCCCGCGCCCGCTGCCGCCCCCACTCCCGCGATTCAGACGTCCGACCGTGCGTAATTGCACCCCACCGACCGGTTGCCCTTTCGACCAACCGGTCCGTGCCGGGTCTTGCCGTTCCTCATGCCCCCCGTGCTCCCCGCCCGATCGACCAGTCGCCGGCCTGCCATCCCAGGGCACTTCACCAACTACCGACGATAGGAAAAGCAAGCGCTACAGTTCTCTCCTCTCTCTCTCTCTCTCTCTCTCTCTCTCTCTCTCTCTCTCTTTGCTCTCCTCTCCTCTGCTCTTCTCTTCTCTTCTGTTTGTCGGTCGTGTATGTTCCGAATGTATGATGTTTGGGATATGTATGTATGTATGTATTATTGTATTATGTGTGTGTCTGTCTGGAGTATAAAACCGGCTGTGCACTTTTCACTTCTTTGCTGAGCAATTTACAGTGTTGTCTCTTCCCAAGCGCGAGCGGCAGGAGCTCGTCCTTGGTTTTCACAGGAAGTCCGAAAAGGTCAAAAATAATAATAACGACATTGGAACAACTGGACCGCGCCTTGCAACCGTCGACGAGGAGTGGTTCCTCCCGTCGTCGATGGAACCGTCATCACCGTCATGCCGACCGTTGATTTTTTTAATTTGTTTTTTGGGGAAAGCTTCACCGTCATGCCGACCGTTGATTTATGTAATGGCATAATTGAAAAAAAAAAAAAAAAAAAAAGAGATTTACGTGATTGGCCTCGGCGGAATCCCGAAGGTCTTGTCGCGTTCAGACCGTAGATGTGTGTGAGTGGGAGTCTCGACAGCTATGGACCAGACGGGTCGCTGTGCCGGGTGTCAGGTCCCATACTACGTGAGTGGCCCGAGTTGTGTTGTTTCCTCAACGCCCGAATCTGGACGTGGTTTAAGGGGAGGTGCTGTTGAGGAAACTCGACGCGATGTTTTGCATATCTCCACAAACACGTCCCGATTCAGGCGTTGAGGAAACTCAACGCTGCTACCATCCTCCCCCGAATACAACGTACGGTCATTATAGTTGAATTTGGGGCATCTTTTAGTCTACATATACCTATAATCACCGTACCTTGTATTCGGGGGCGATGTCCCACGCAAATTAGGAGATTGGGGCCGTTGATCTTTGCTATCTACGGTCAGTATCTCTTAATTCGTGCAAGTGGGACCTACTCCCGTTCCCCCGAACACAACGCACCCTTATTTTGGCTGTACCTCGCCGGAAATATAGTCTCTATACATTCATTTTTATGGTGCGTTATGTTGGGGGAAGAATGGCAGTGTGGGACTTGGCCCCCGGCGGCTGTGAACGCGCCAGGACCATCGTCCTCCCGGAGATTCAGATTCCAGTGCGGAATTGCCAACAACAGAACTTTATCTATAAACGAAACGACGCGCGCACTTTTTTGCCGTCTTGGCGTCACACGTCGCCTGCGCAGACGAGTTGTGGCTCCCCGAGACTCGAGGAGCCATTCGCTTTTTGTTTTATTTTTGTTTTTTTTTTTCGTTTCCTTTTTTTTTCCGTTTTTTTTTTTCCTCCGCCTTTCCTTTTTTTTTTTTTTTTTTTTTCCTAGTACAGAAAATTTGCAATATACCCCCCCTGCGGAAAGATGGTGGTGGAGCTGAGTGCCCTTGCACCAAAACCTGTGTTATACCCGTCTACTGCCGAGAAGGAAAAGTTTTTGCCTCACCTCTCCCCCCACCACTACATGTAGTAGTCCCGGCCCTCGTCAATTTTGACCTGGTTTGTTCCCTGCGGGTTTGCCGACTTTACAGATTGCCCCAAGGGAGTCTACCCTCGTCCCCCCCAGACTGTCCCCTCAAGACTCGAGGAGCCATTTGCTTTTCTAAGTTTCTTCCACTTTTTCCTCTTCACCATCTGCGAGTTGTGGCTCCCCGAGACTCGAGGAGGCATTCTCCTTCTGGTTATCCTTCCTTGGGAACTTTCCGATATACCCGTCAAGAGATGCAATATGTGCCAGAATGACCCTGAAAGATACTTGTGGAGCGGAGTGCCCTTTTGCACCGAAACCATGTTTGAATACAGTACACAGTAGGCAGGAGGGCGAGGACGATGAACATGATCAAGATGAGAGGCGGGGCGAGGGGAAGTACGGTGAGGAGAAAAGAGAAAGAGGACGCAGAAGGAGGATGGCGAAGGATGGGGATGGGGAGGACGATGAACACGAATATGAGGAGAAGGGGGTGGAGGAGGACGAGCACCATGAGGAAGGAGGGGGAGAGAATGCATAAGTGGAAGGAGGGACAGGAGGAGGAGGGACAACATAGCAACCGGGAGTAGGACAATGGGGAATGATTAACACCAAGAGGACAAGAAGTGGGAGGAGGAGGAGGAGCATGGTGAGGAGGGAGAGGAGAGACGGCATAGCAAGCGGGAGCAGAAGCAAGGATGAGAGGGGGAGGACGACGAAAACAAACAGGAGGAGAATCAAGAGGAAGAGGAAGAGCGCAGTGAGGGAGGAGAGGACGCAGCAAGGAGGGGACGGAGAGACTGGAGGACGAGGGACGACATAACCAGCGGGAGCGGGAGGATGGGAAACGGTGAAGAGGGTGAGGACTATGAACACGAACACAATCATGTTTTTTTCAAAGAGCTGCGTAGAGTGAACATAACAGCACACACACATATAACGATAACGAGGAGTCCAACAAGGATAACACCTACAACGAGAAGTTGAAGAGGGCGATGCATGACAAGTTCAAGAGGACGATGATGGAAACAGAGGAGGGACGAGGATGGCGAAGGGGGATGAGGGAGGCCAACGATGGAGGGAGTTGAAGGGACGAGGGCACAATTCTTTTCTTTTTGTGAAGTTGTATAGGGCAAAGCGGACAATGTTGGAGAAAAAACACAAATAATGGCCTACAGGAAATTACAGCTGGTAGGCAAGCACGCGGGCGGGGAGTTTTTCTTTTCTTTCAATGCGCGACTTTTTCGACGTTCTATAAACAGTTTTGGTGTTGTGGAATTATTTTTTTTCCATTTTTCCCTGCCAGTTTCTCAATAGCTTCTAGGGAGCGATCTACTTGGTCCACTACTCAGCGGATGGGGAAGATGAGAATGAATCTTCAGATGGAACACGGAAAGATACACTACCATTATTTTTTGTCCTTTGCACACACACACACACACATACATACACAAAGAGAGAGAGAGAGAGAGAGAGAGAAAGAGAGAGAGGGAGAGAGAGAGAGAGAGAGAGAGAAACAGAATGACGGACGGACAGAGAAACAGGGAGAGACAGACAGAGAGAGAGAGAGAGCACCTCGCCGCTCCGCCACACGCAGACGAAGCCGCGACGTGTCTACTTGTTTTAATAAAATCCTATTTTGTTTGTGAGAATATAAAATAACTCATTTGGTTTGAATAACAAAACATATTTGGTCCTGATCAAATTATCAACTTATTTTTTTTTATAAACCACTCAACCATTAACAGGGAGTACAAGGGGGGGGGGGGAAATCAATATGATGTGAAAACGTGCAATTATATATGCTCGCACGAAAGGAAGGTTTGAGAGTCCTTATATAGGGTTTAATATAGTAGCAGACGAGAACATATGCATGACTAAATGATTGTATTAATGTATGTAAGCTTATTTGTCTTCTATCGTCTTTCTTCTAAATCCCTTTGGTATCCGTACCTTCTTAGGAAGATTGTCATGCCCGGCCCCGCACCCAAGCTTAACACCTCGCGTGAAGAAAAAGAAAAAATACTATATTTTTTTTCGGTGATTTCCATGAGAACCCAAAAACCGGGTTTTTTTCTTTTATTGAAAGTTGGTTTCCAACAGTGGGAAGGGGGCTAAATGACTTTATAGGAGGGTGCCTTACTGTGATTCTGTTTGTTTTTTTTAATCCCTGACTTTCTAAAGAATTATGATGGGACCCTGGACTAAAAGTTGTTTGTATTGCAATTCTACACAATTTTTTTTTCCAGATCTTTTTATTTTTATTTATTTTTGTGCTCGAGTTGCCCAGAACCCTTACCGGTGGTCATGCCCGGCAGGATGCCCGAGCATCTATCTGGGCACAAGTTGGGTGTCGAGGCTCTCTAAAAAGCAACCTAAGTGTCTTCATTATTTGTATTAGGCAAGTCTAAGACTTTTGATAGTAGTCTAACAGATAGGATAATAAAATTTTTATTATTTTATTGTTTTTTAAAAGTTCGATAATATTATGTTTCTGTGATGGCACAGGAACATGTTATTGAATGTTATATACTTTGGACATTGTATTTAAAATTTTAATTTAATTTATTTATTTAAAATTACACATATATATTATCATTATAACTGAGGTATTTAACATTGAACCGTTGCGGTAAATAAAGCAAATCAATTCAACAGCTAGGCTACCAGAGTTACTCGGAACCACTTGCCCGGCCGGACAAATTTCGATGTGACCCTGAGACAAAAGTTGTTCAATTTATTTTTCTTCATAATATAGTTTTTTTTTTTTTTTTTTCGGATGTATTGTTGTTGTTGTTGTTGGCTGGGACCTTCCTTGGTCCTTGCACTGTTGGGGCGCCCGGGAAAACAAGGTGACCCGGGCGGCCCTGATGGTAGCCTAGTTCAATAATAGTTATTTATTTTTTATTAATTAAA